CCTGTCTCCGGCCTCTGTCTCCCGGCCTCTGTCTCCCGGCCTGTCTCCGGCCTCTGTCTCCGGCCTCTGTCTCCGGGCCTCTGTCTCCGGCCTCTGTCTCCCGGCCTCTGTCTCCTGGCCTCTGTCTCCGGCCTCTGTCTCCCGGCCTCTGTCTCCGGCCTCTGTCTCCGGCCTCTGCCTCTGGGCCTCTGTCTCCCGGTCTCTGTCTCCGGCTCTCTGTCTCCCGATCTCTGTCTCCGGCCCTCTGTCTCTGGCCCTCTGTCTCCCGATCTCTGTCTCTGGCCCTCTGTCTCCAGGCCTCTGTCTCCCGGCCTCTGCCTCCGGGCCTCTGTCTCCGGGCCTCTGCCTCCGGCCTGACTCCACTTCTCTGGGAGGCAGCAGGTCAGCACAGCTGCAGTCCAAGTGGACTCCATGATCACGGCTAAATGGCAGAGTCGGGTGCCCTTGTGTCCTGAAATTCCCTCCTAAAAAAAAAGTAATAGCCTTTTTTTTTTGAGACAGCGTCTTACTCTGTCACCCAGGCTAGTGTGATCATGGCTCACTTCAGCCTCCACCTCCTGGGCGCAAGCCATCCTCCTGCCCCAGCCTCCTAAGCAGCTGGGACTACAGACGTGTGCCACCACGCCTGGGTAATTTTTGAATTTTTTGTTTTTCGTAGAGATAGGGTCTTACTGTGTGTTGCCCAGACTGGTCTCAAACTCCTGGGCTCAAGCAATCTTCTTTCCTGGACCTCCCAAAATGCTGAGATTACAGGCAAGAGTCACCAATAAAATAAAAGCTAGCCCAGCCTAGCTTTTTTTTTTGAGACGGAGTTTCACTCTTGTTGCCCAGGCTGGAGTACCGTGGTGCAATCTCAGTTTACTGCAACCTCCGCCTCCTCGGTTCAAGTGATTCTCCCGTCCCAGCCTCCTGAGTAGCTGGGATTACAGGCACCCGCCACCATACCTGGCTAATTTTTGTATTTTTAGTAGAGATGGGGTTATATCACATTGGTTAGGCTGGTCTCGAACTCCTGACCTCAGGTGATCCGCCCACCTTGGCCTCCAGAAGTGCTGGGATTACAGGCATGAGCCGCTGCGCCCGGCCCCCAGCTTTTATTTTTTATCACAGTTTTAGGTTTATAGAATAATTAATAGTACACGGAATTCCATACTCCCACCCACAGTTTTCCCTGTTAACATCTTGCATTTGTTACAATTGATGAACCAACATTGGGTTCGCTCTGCAGAAATTCCTTTTGAAAAACATCCTGTGTATTAGTTTCCTGGGCTAACAGTACTACAACCTGCGTGGCTGAAACAACCGAAATATAATCTCCCAGTTCTGGAGGTCAGAACGTCCAAGGGAAAGGTGTTGGCAAAGCTGTGCTCTCTGAAGGCCCCGGGGAGAGCCTGTTCCTGCCTTCTGCGTGGCTTCTGGTACTGCCACAGTCCTTGGCCCTCCTGGGCTTGAAGACTGTCGCTCTGCTGTCTGCCACTGTCTTCACGTGGCGCGCGTGTGTGTGTGTGTGTCCTCTTCCCTTGTTATACGGATGCTAGTCATTGGATTTAGGGCTCACCCTAATTCATTGTGACTTCAATGTAATTCGATTATCTCTGCAACCTACCCCATTTCCAAACAAGGCCACAGTCGCAGATACTGGTCAGGGCTTCAGCATATCTCTTCCTGGGGATGTAGTGCAGCCAGGACACCCATCTTGCTCCGGTCATTTTGGAATTTATCCTAGGGCATGGGTCTCCTCCCTATGCCACAGGGCATCTGGGCTCCCTCCTGTACCCTCCCCTCCACCTACCTGGCCACGCCCACCTGGTATCCCTCTCCCTAGGCTCCAGCAGCTCCTGCGGTCTCCCACTCTGCAGGTGCGGCTGGGAACTTCCTGTGCCCCGCCGGCGCCTTGTCCTTCAACGCCTTCAAGACCGTGATGGACATCGACACCAGCGGCACCTTCAATGTGTCTCGCGTGCTCTATGAGAAGTTCTTCCGGGTGGGCATCCTCCTGGCGGGGGCCTCCACCTTATGACCACCATCCACTGCCCCGCGGCCTCCCCTTTACGGCCGCCCACCCACCGCCCCGCGGCCTCCCCCTTACGGCCGCCCACCCACCGCCCCGCGGCCTCCCCCTTACGGCCGCCCACCCACTGCCCCGCCGCCTCCCCCTTATGGCCGCCCACTCACTGCCTCAGGCCTTGTGTGTTGCAGGACCATGGAGGGGTGATCGTGAACATCACTGCCACCCTGGGGAACCGGGGGCAGGCGCTCCAGGTGCATGCAGGCTCTGCCAAGGCTGCTGTGGGTATGACCCCCCTGCCCAGGTCTGCCCACCTGGGTTCCCACTGGGCCCTCTGCTTCCATCCCAGGAAGCCAGCAGTCTCCACGTGAAGCTGAGCCCAGCTTCAGGCAGCGAGGCCTGGCCTTGGCCCTGACCCCTGCAGAGAGCAGAGCGGCCCCTTCATATCCAACTTTCTCCCGTGCAGACGCGATGACACGGCACTTGGCAGTGGAGTGGGGTCCCCAGAACATCCGCGTCAACAGCCTCGCCCCTGGCCCCATCAGTGGCACGGAGGGGCTCCGGCGACTGGGTACGGCTCTTAGGGAGCCCAGGCCTCCCACAGATCCTCCCCTGGGGCACAGGGTACCCATGGAAGCTTCCAGAACCTTGGCAGGGGGTATGTTGAAAAGCCCTCATGCCTGTAATCCCAGCACTTTGGGAGGCCGAGACGGGCGGATCACGAGGTCAGGAGATCGAGACTATCCTGGCTAACACAGTGAAACCCCGTCTCTACTAAAAATACAAAAAAAAACTTAGCCGGGCGAGGTGGTGGACGCCTGTAGTCCCAGCTACTAGGGAGGCTGAGGCAGGAGAATGGCGTGAACCCGGGAGCCGGAGCTTGCAGTGAGTGGAGATCGCGCCACTGTGCTCCAGCCGGGCGACAGAGCAAGACTCCATCTCAAAAAAAAAAAAAAAAAAAAAAAAAAGAAAAGCCCTGTGCTGATTCCATGGTGGCAACTGTTCGGTGCCTGGCCTGATCCTGCTCCATGCTAGGCCTTGGGGACACTGACTGTGCCCTTCCTGTTCCCAGATGCCTCTCAGGGAACGAGCTGGGGGAGAGGGGAGGGTGCTGGGTCTTGGGACCCATGGGGCCTAAACCTTCTGCTGCCCTCCAGGTGGCCCCCAGGCCAGCCTGAGCACCAAGGTCACTGCGAGCCCGCTGCAGAGGCTGGGGAACAAGACCGAGATTGCCCACAGCGTGCTCTACCTGGCCAGCCCTCTGGCTTCCTATGTGACGGGGGCTGTGCTGGTGGCCGATGGCGGGGCATGGTTGACGTTCCCAAACGATGTCAAAGGGCTGGCGGATTTCGCATCCTTCTCTTCTAAGCTCTAGGTGAGGTGCCGCTCCCGCTTCTTGGGGTCACCTGTGTCCTTGGATGTTGGTCACTGCATGGGCAGGTCTCTGCGGGACCCATGGGGCTGGCGTCTCCTTGGTCCCCATCCTGCCGGCCCTGCACCAGCCTGGCCACACGTGGGTGCTGCCCCGTGGGGCTGGGCAGGAGGCGGGCGCTGGGGCACTTGCTCTTCTGTAGTGGCCTCGGCCTCTGCCGGCATTTCTGGCAGGTGCTGGGTGGCCGAGGCAGCCGAGGTGTTTTAGGGGGAAGCCGTCCTCAGCCGGCTCCTAAGTTCTGGAACTTCTGCAGGATTCTTCCAGCCACTGCTTCCCTCTGCCTCACAGCCAGGTGGAGAGCACCAGTCTGAACCAGCAATGCCCGTAGCCCAGCCCCTCCTCCGGACACTCAGCTATTTCTGCACTCTCCCTCCCCATGGTCCCAACTCCAGGGCAGGAGCAACTGGACAGTGGGCCTGGCCCATGGAGCTGCCATGCCGGTGTCTGAGGGCCAGGTGCCACGCAGGTAGTGCAGGTGCAGACAAGATACTGAGATGTCCCCTGCCCCGTGGTCAAGGCTGTCCTGCCTGCCTGGGTCCAGGGCCTGAGGGAGCCACATGGATCCTGAGACTTGTGTTCTCTTGGCTGAAAACACTGAGGTGCTCCCGTCCGTGCGTGGCCCATGAGCTGGGACGGGCCTCAGGCTGCCCACAAGGTCCGCCCCTCTGTCTCTGCACCACCTGTTTGCATAAACACACTTTGCTACAATCTTGCTAGATAGTGCATTTTCTTAAAAGATAATCTATTTACTGTAAAAATAAACTGGACTTTGCAAAAGCTTTTAGAAGGAAAAGAGCATTAAAGAGAATTGCTGGTAACCCTGTCGTTTGTGGGTTGTGTTTCCTTCCTGTCTTTTCTGTGATGTTTAATTATTATTATTATT